TTTAGACTTATGATAGTCATAAATATTTATGATGTGTCTGACAACTGGGTTCCTAATGTATTAGCGCGTTAGTAACCGTGTGTATGAAAGCGATATTCGTGTATAAGTATTTACTACAGTTGACCCGTTTTATTCGCTGGTGAAAATCCCGCATCTTTACTGAAAAACAGCAACACAGAAACACCGATACCGCGGTTGTTGTTGTTGTTGTTGTTGTTGTTGTTGTTGTTGTTGTTGTTGTTGGTGGTGGTGGTGGTGGCCGTGACATGACCGTGACGCGTCAGCTTTTGTGCCCACCGTTACACCATTTTGTGTGCCCCCTCTCTATCTCTCCCCCACCTTTCTCTCTTCCTGCTCTCTCTCTCTCTCTCTCCTCTCTCTCTCTCTCTCTTTCTCTATCTCGATCTCTATCTCTTCCCCCCTCTCTCTCTCTCTCTCTCTCTATCTCTCTCCCCCATCTCTCTTTTTTTACTCTCCTCACTTTCTCTCTCTTTCTCTGCCTCTTCAACTGTCTCTTCCTCGCGTCTCTCTCTCTACTATCACTCTCTCTTTCTCGCCTCTCTCTCTCTCTCTCTCTCTCTCACTCTCTCTCTCTTCTCTTTCTCTCTCTATCGCTCTTTTCTTCTCGCTCTCTCTCTCTCTCTACTCTCTCTCTCTCTCTACTCTGCTCTCTCTATCACCTCTTACTCGACCTTCTCTCTCTCTCTCTCTTTCTCGCCTCTTTTCTGCTTTCTCTTTCTATCTCCTCCACCTCTCTCTCTCTCTCTCTCTCTCTCTCTCTTTCTCTTTTCTCCCTCTCTCTCCCTATCTCTATCTACCTCTACTCGACCTCTCTCTCTCTCTCTCTCTCTCTCTCTCTCTCTCTCTCTCTCTCTTCATTCATTCATCATTTAATCGTGTTGAGTCGCCAGTTGAACTTAAAAAACTTCGATCTACATCCAACGCATCCTAGGATCTTAGTCTGCTATTTCTACAGCTGTCCGCTCCAATCTGAAACTACCGCCGCGCCTGAGGTTGAAACGGATTCTTCTTCTTCTCATGATCATATTCAGAATACTCATGTCGCCTCACATCCGAGTTGTAGCTACTTAAAGACTAATTAACTTACTTGTAGACTAATTAAACACCAATTAAATATGCACGCGTTATGCTAAACACATGAAGGAATCGCAACGATAATATTCACTTAATTAGAGACGGACAACATGATTAACTAGTTAATAAATTAATAAATAATTAGTAAGCAGAAGGAGCAGAGCTCTACGGGACATGTATCTGTGTATCTAGGTGGTACGCAACCGTAGATTCTCCATCCACGCGTGATAGATATTGATATCCGTCGATATTTCCAGCTGCGTATTATATTTCTGATGCATCTGTTTTTCGACTTTATTATTCTTTCCTCTTTTTTCTCTCTTCTCCGTTCAGTCAAAGATTGATTTTTTTTTAGATTATACGCTGTAGTGCGGGGAGCTGTAGGACTATATATTCTCTCTATCTTCCACGTATCCATTCCTGCCACATCCGAATTCCTTTAATTTCATGGTAACGTGAAAATGTCCCGTAGATTCAAGTACAGCGATGCATTTGTAAGAACCAGAATTAATTACCAGAATATTTCATTAACGCTTAACCATTACCAGTATATTTTATTTAAACCTAACCATTACCATTACCAGTAGGGCCTATATTTTATTGAAACCTAACTATTACCAGTATATTTTATTGAAACCTAACCATTACCAGTATATTTTATTGAAACCTAACCATTACCAGTATATTTTATTAATACTTAACTATTACCAGTATATTTTATTATTGCCTAACTCATCACCAGCGTATTTTATTAGTAACGATTCTTCATTGTCAATGTCGTTTTCAGTTCTTACGTACGGTGTTGTTCTCTGCACGTAATCTCTACCGCCAGCACCAACCGCCCATCCTCATCCCTATCATCATCCTCATCCCTATCCCCATCCTCATCCTCATCCTCATCCTCATCCTCATCCTCATCCTCATCCTCATCCCCATCCTCATCCCTATCCCCATCCTCATTCTCATCCCCATCCTCATCCTCATCCTCATCCTCATCCTCATCCCCATCCCCATCCCCATCCTCATCCTCATCCTCATCCTCATCCCCATCCTCATCCTCATCCTCATCCTCATCCCCATCCTCATCCTCATCCTCATCCTCATCCTCATCCTCATCCCCATCCTCAT